TGGAAAAGGTTACTCACTTGGAAATATTTCTGAGAGAAAGTAAACTTAAAAAAAAAAAAAATCCAAAACCCAAACCTCATAAAGCACAGCCAGATGAGTTCCTCTTTTTTGCCTACAGAAGATTTACAACCTAGGGTGGTTTGCAGAATAGTAAGGAAAGCATGAGAACATTTGAAACACCAAGTAATTTGAAGCAAGGGGTGAATAGGAAATGTCTTAGCAAAAACAAGGGAACTAATTCTAGGGAACATAATCTAATTTAAGACTCCTAGCCTGTTCCTAGAATATGAGATTAGAAGATTCTCTTATAGGATGATGATTAACCCCCAAAGGTGCTGATATTTGAAGACTGCTCAATAAGAACATTCAGCTTGCCAGTTAAATCTCTAAAGCAGATCAGTCAAAAGCCTTGCTATGAACACAGAATTTAACCTTGATTAATTTGATTAGCAAGACTCACCAGATATTTGAAAAAAAAAATTCAACATTAATACCAGAGGGACAGGGGGTATGACGGGGGGAGAGAAAGGAGAAAAGAGGTACATGGGAAATGCATAAAGAAAACCTTGATAGAAAAAACAAACACCACATAACACTGCATCCATGAAACAAGAACAGTATGTTATAACAAAGGAACATTCAAAGAACAAAAAAGAAATTTCTGAAACTAAAAATCATTATCAGGAGGAAAACTAAAAAATTCACAAATACATGGAAACTTAACCAATAAAAATCAATGCATCAAGGAAGAAATTTCAAAGGTATTTAAAAATTCCTTTAGATTAAAAAATAAATAAAACCCCAACATATCAAAACATACAGAACGCAATAAATAGATGGTAACAGTGACATTTATAAATACAAATGCCTACATTAAAAAATAAAGATCCCACTGGGCATAGTGGCACATGCCTGTAATCCCAGCAGCTAGGGAGGCACCAAGCAACTCAGTGAGACCCTGTCTCTAAATAAAATACAAAACAGGGCTGGGGATGTGGCTCAATGGTTAATTAACACTGGGTTCAATCCCCAGTACCCAAAAAATAAAGATCTCAAAACCAGTATTGGTGTTTGGACCTAGAATGTTCTCCAAAGTCTTAAGTGTTAAAGACTAGGTCACCAGCCTGTGACATTATTGAGTGGAAACATTAGAAGGTGAAACCCATTGGAAGTAAGTTACATCACTGGGAATATGCCCTTGAAGGCATTCCCTGCCATTTCCTCTTTTTTTTTTTTTTAATATTTTTTAGTTGTTGGTGGATCTTTATTT